GGAATATTCCTGATACTCATTTCTGTTAGTGGCTGAGTCGACCTCAGGACCACAGTGCAGCTGGGAGGGTTAGGCAAATTGAAAACCAAACGATCTTATCGAGAATCGACCCCGCGACCTTCCGGCTTGTAATACAGTGCCTCAAAGATCTACGCTACCGCATGTCCCCGGGCCTTGTCATGAACCACCCGAGTTCAGTCCATACATTTTTGTTCTCATCTGAGAGGCCCCCGGATCTAATCTTACCCCGAAGGGTGTTTATTCTGAGGTTTGTGTTGCATTGTCAGTCCCTCCAAGCCAGTTTAATAGAGCACTAAATTAGACAATGACCGTTTTTACGTGTCTTTTTCAATGCATTATTCACTTATCACCCTAGTATTCTGGGCCACATAATATGAGATATCGGCAGCGTCGTTTAATAAGTAAAGACTGAAATAAATTGCCGTATGAATAATATTCTCCCACCTACCTCTACCTTCCTGAAGTTGTTTCTTCCGTTCCGATTTCAGGCTAAAATTGTGTGCGCATTTTCCATTTCCCCATGCATGTTTCGAATCTAAAAGAAGCCGAATCCTACTTGAGAAGCTGCCAGTCTCTCAGTTACTCAAGAATCTCCCAACGTTCACCACCCTGTTCACAATAACTCTCCTCTAGTCTTTATCCTGGACTAAATAAATCTAGTACCTACCATAATATTTTTCCCTATAAGATTCATTTTAAAATTATACCCTCATTTACATCTACGTATTCCTAGTGGTGGCTTTCCCTCAAAAGACATATATGAATTCCTCTTCGCTCCCATGTAAAACACATAAATGGTAAATCTATCCCTGCAACAGGCCGTGAAGTCCCATAGGGTTTTGAGACGTCGAGGTTCCCTCAGCTTCTAGACAATCGGCTCACAGATGGTGGTAACGTTGTCAGCCTTACTAGACGTCCGCCTTTTATCCCCAGGAAGATTCCTGGCACTCATTTCTGTTAGAGGTTTAGTCGACCCCAGGGTCATAGCGCGGCTGGAAGGATTATTGAATAAATCCAATGCTCTCATCCGGAATCGAAACCGCGACCTCCTTGCTTGTAGCATAGTGCCTCAAACAAATATGCTACCGCGTGTCCCTGATCTACATAACTCATCCTTCATGACATGATCGTTCTAATTATATTTGGCGGAGAGTACAAATTATGAACAGTAGAAAAATAATGTATAATTTAATGTCGCCATAAACTATTTTAACAATTTATATGTTCTCCACGGCATATCTTGTTTAGAAGCACGAGTTTTGGTTTCAATTCCCGGTAAAGGCAAGAGATTTTGCCTTCTCCGCATAGTCGAGTCGGCTTTGGGGATACCGAGGGTTATTTTCTCAAGGATAAAATGGCTGGGAGTGAAGCTGACCACTCAACTTCATCTACTGCCAAGGTTAAGAATACTTGGAGCTATACCTCCAATTCCAATCGTCTTCATGACATGGTGCTTAATTATCTATAAGGATGCCTTTATATTACTTATTTACTTACTTACTCATGGAGCTGAGCCCTTCTTGAGGAGTCACAAATTTTGCAACTATTCAAGAATTTCCGAGCATTTTACGGAAGCCGAAGGGTCATTACCGTGTTCAGAAGAGCCCTCCACTGGTCCCTATCCTGAGCCAAATAAATCCACATCATCCCAACCTATCTCTCTAAGATCCATTTTAATATTGCCCACCCACATATGCATTGGTCTTCCCAGTGATCTCTTTCCATCTGGCTTTCCCACCAATATCCTAAATGCATTCCTCTACGCCCCCATTCGTGCTACATGTCCTGCCTTTACATTATGTTTCGGTAAATGTCGATATAGAAATATGTTTAAATAATGTAAACTGAGGCGACTTTATGATTTATTTTGCTGTTTTTTTGCTTCGTTTACAGCAACTGAAAAGTGAACATATCGGACCCTCGGAAATCCGCGGCAGAGTCAGTTCGAACTCCCAGTAGTTCGAACTGATTCTCATTACCACTTAAACATAAATCGACACCTCCAAAAGTTACAAGTGTAATTTAATTATTTTAATTCCTTGTAGTAAAAACGAATTCTTGAGAAATATAATATTACATTTTAATGGACCCACTTCTTTGGGTTGGTGAGAGTTATAACCCTACTACCGCTTACCCCGAGCCCGTCGTGTAGTCAAACGCCCGGGTGTTCTGACCTTTATTTATTTATTTATTTATAAAATAGATTCATACCTATAATCTTCTGAATAAATAATTTTACTAAAAAATTCAGAATGATTCGATTGTCCGAAGACACCAGTGTTTCGATTAATTTGGATTATCAAGGTTATAGCGTGTTATTTTTCGATGCAAGAGATTGTTCAGGTGGCAACCAAAGATCTGAATGTTATTACAGTGTATAATCATGATTGTAACACCATACAATAAGATTCAAATATGACACAATGTCACTCCGTAATTTGTATCGACTGATCTGCTCCTACATATACGTAATTGGTCATTGATGAAGCTGCGATAAATAAATGTACACAAAACATAGTCGATAAGATGAGTTGGTTTTGTGACAGAAAACAATAAATACCTATGAAGAAAGCAGTCTTCTGGGATTTGGCACCGACCGGTTCTCACGGTCTCTTCGCTTGCAAATTTCTTATATTTTTTCTTCTACCCTGAAGATGGAGGCGATACGTTCCTCCGAAACGTCGGTTAACACCACATATACACGGTGCCAAATCCCAGAAGACTGCTTTCTTCATAGTCACCGCCGTGAAAGCCTCAAATCTTACAATAAATACCTAATTTCTTTGCTTCCATTTAGTAAGTTATTACCATTTACATAGAAAAATGTACGTATTTGGCGTAAATGAGTATAAGACGATCATTCCCAACTTCTTCCATAAATTCTTGAATATGTTACAAGTTAAAAATGGTATTATTTAAAGTAAGCCAGAGAATAGAAATAGAATAACAAGGCCTAGGGAGGCATATACATGTCATATAATACTGTAGATACATGAATATCTGTCAAATAGTATGGCACTTCGTTAATCACAGGTATGAAAGCGATCAACGATGTAAAATAACAACCTTTGATAAGACAAATGTACAGGGTGATTCTAAATTATTGTTGGGATTTCCGTGACCCATAATATTTAAAGCCGGTCACGGTAGCCGAGCGGTCTAAGGCATGTACTGTCTTCGCTCGCTCGGAAGCCGGGTTCATGGGTTCGAATCCCACTCAGGGCATGAATGTTTAGTTTGTGTGTGTGCGTTTTTCTGTGTTTGTGTACAGGTAGAGGCCTTGCGACGAGCTGATCATCCGCCCAAGGAGTCCTACCGAATGTGTAGATCTAGAAAAACCGAAGTGAACGGAGAAGTTCATGGAGGTAGGCCTAGGCCCACTGGAGCTGTAGTGCCAAAAAAATTAAATCGAAAAAAAAAAGAATAAGACCGCTTTCAGAATGTGAAATTGTAGCTCAAAATTTGTATTATTTATAGAATTACTGCTGCAGAATGCTAAACAACTTCAATATGCAAGCCTTTCTTGACACGTAAGACGTAAATTTTCCTCCCAAGTATTCTCCAATATATATGGCGTGACTCTTTCGATTGCAGCAACACTTCATCGAGGGAGGTCACTCGGGTCTGTAAATAATGTCCTTAACGTATCCCCACAGGAAGAAATCAAGTGGCTTAATATGGAGTGAGCGCGGAGCCCACGAAATTAATCCATCAAGCCCAAATGAGCGCCCAGGAAAATGCACGTCAAGAAATTCTCGGACAATGCTAGACCAATGTGGGGGTGCAAAGAAAGACACTTATGTTGCAGTTGTTTAATATTCTACAGTACTAATTCTATAAGTAATTAAACTTTTCGAGTTACACATTCATATTCATTATTCAGTTTTACATTATTTTTCCGGTTTGAAATTTATAGGCCATGGAAACCCCGACAGTAATTCAGAATCACTCTGTATTTAAAGATTACCTACGTATCTATAGAAATAATAATATTAATACTAATATATATTCCATTTTACTAAAACGTAGCTCAATATGAAACACTGCTAATAAATTCTGATAACCAGAAACTTCTGTCTCGTAAGTTGTTGAATTGCAGTGTATAACGTAAAGGAATTATACTGAAATATTATTACACCGTGTTTGACAAAATCTACGAATAATATAAAAAATTAAATAAAAATACATAATTGCAAACATTAAGAAAACTATGTAAGATTTTAGGTTTTCACGGCGGTGACTATGAAGAAAGCAGTCTTCTGGGATATGGCACCGTGTAGATGTGGTGATAACCGACGTTTCGAAGAAACGTATCGCCTCCCTCCGGTTCTCACGGTCTCTTCGCTTGCGGATTTTCTTATTTTTCTTTCTACCCTGAAGATGGACGCGATACGTTCCTCCGAAACGTCGGTTAACACCACATCTACACGGTGCCATATCCCAGAAGACTGCTCTCTTCATTAAGAAAACTGCTCGTGGCTAATGAATTTGTCCTACAAGTGCAGCACACACGACTAAGCAGTAATTAAATTATTTAACTAACTAACTACATGGAACACAGCCTCTCTTGAGAAGCTAATGGTTATACAAATAGTCAAGAACTTTTTAGCATATTATGGAGCCCACAGATTAATTACCTTGTTCAAAAGAGGCTGATAATTATTCCTATCCTTAGCCATATAAATCCAGTCTACATCCTCCCACCCAATTTCTTTAAAACCCATTTTAATATTATCATTATCTGATAATTTATTACTGAAAAATAATGAACTAAATAAGCACAATACTAAATTGTTTATGAATCTGCTACTTTCATGAACAATAAGCTATGTGCAAGCGGGGTGAGGACTACCACAATTAATCTTAGAATCTGATATTTAAACACTCTTTTCTACAAAATTCTCTTAGGAAGTGTTAAATTTAACGTAACATGTACACACATATACATTTTATTTAATGTTTATTAGATATTTACTTGCCTTTAAATGAAATGAAGTAATTAATGGCGTTTGCAATCGGTCCGCTTGTTATAAACCTGAAACGCTTCTGTACTTTCAGTATGCAATGCCGTAGTGTTTTCAGAATATCTGAGGGCTGTTCGTTCTCGCGGGAATTATATACCAAACTCCGGGTTTCAAATTTCATTTACCGCGCATCTTGTTCCCGAAGTCCTTCTACCCCTCCACCCTATCGTGAAATGTGTTGGTGCTAAGAGTACCCACCCCCTCAAGAGTGGGAGTACAGGGTTCTTTGAGTGTGTGTCATTATTATCGCCTCAAAAGCTAACGATACTATTGTCATGGAACTTACACAGAATGTAGAGGGACAGCACTTATTTTCCATTATTATTTTTATTTTCTTGCAGCTAAGACTTGCGATGAACTCAACTAATAATTTCAGACCAAAATATGTATATTATTAAGGCGTATATCCTCAGTAATATTATAATTACGCTGTTATTGTTATAAAGTTCTAATTTCTTAAAGTAAAATTGATGTTAAAATACTGTTTTCAAAAATAATGTTGGTGATCTGGTTGAAGTATATCATATTCAGGTTAAGAAATTGTACAATGGTTTTTAAACAAAATTCCACATGACAATTAGGAGGAACAAAAAAGTGTAATAGCAGATTTTCAGCGCGTTCGCAATTAAAGTTTTACAATTGCACTTGTTAGTTTCACCAAGTCTGTCCGTCTTTTCGCATATAACGATTACAAAACCGCTCAACATATTTTAAAATAATATGATACTGGGAAGTTTTACTGAAATTTGTCGGCGGTAATCCATAATTTAAATTAGAACTAGAAAAATAATAGCAGACATTTTACATATGTTTCTGCACACATATCGATTGGAACTCGTGAAATATTATGGGCACGAAAAATATTTGGAACCAAAATTGCGGAGAAAATAAAACATTTATTTTATGACCAATACACTTTGACATAAGTCTTGCGGCTTTCAAGATAATTAAACAAATGGGATTGATTGCGAGAGCATTGTTGCGGAAAGCGTTAATTACCTAACTCGTTAGATTAATCACGCCTATTGGGTTGTCGAAGCGGTAACGCTTTGGATTCGTATTCTGAAGGCTTTCAGAGGCTCGACCTGTATACTGTCTATCATGGCTGGGGGTTTTCGTGGAATTCTTAAATCTCTTGAGGCAAATGTCAGGATTGCACCACGATAAGACAAGGCAGTTTCCTTCCAAATCTTTTCCAGTTCATTCATCAATAATTCTAGCATTCGACGCTGTATAGTCTAGATACTGACAGCGTTGTAAAATAATACACAGAAAAAACTTATCGCAATTGTCAACCCCTCATCTGTTGAAAGAGTAACAATACCGACATTGGAATGACCATACGGCAGTTTCGAACTACCATGGATTCGAACACTTGATGCGCATGCGTGCGTTGCTAGTGGTGTACGGTTTTCTCTTGTTTTCGCAATTTCCTTTTCCGCCACTTTTCGTTCAGTGTGGTTTTTCAGGTTTTAGGTGGCCAGTGAGTCAGAAGGTGTGAGAGTGTTCGTCAAACATTTACGGAAATGGTTATTTTACAGTACATTTACGGTCGCTGATTTTTGTAGCGTCTTTATGCATGCACATCTAGAATTCGGAAGATGGAATCTATAAGGAAATGGTTCTACAAGCCTAAGGTAAATAAAGCATAAGGATGATGGAATAGAGTGAACATCATGTTATTATTTTTCTGTTTTTGACATTTAGGTAGAAAGTTATTAAGCACTGCCTTGAATTTGTGAATCTCGTGTAAGATTTCCACTTTGAGTGGTGACTTATATTTGTAACGAAAACGGGGGCTCGGATGGATGTCATTGCCCTTGAGGAATAATAATGTTTTTAACAAATTACTGCAGCGCTAAATATTTTTACGTGCAATAAGACATGCCACATATGTTTAGCCAAGGCTTTTGTTGAGTCGGTATTATGTTATAGCGTATGGTTTTTATTCAAGTATCAAACAGACAATACAAAAAAATTTAGTTTGCTTTGAGATATTTATTCCTTTACAAATGTGTTTTTACCTTGCTTCCCGTGGCTAGTGCTCATGCCCTTATTGTAATTTAATTGCTGTACGAGTTGGTAATGTCAGAATGTTTGTTAGACATGCTGTTTACTACCCTTAATTTCCTCTTCTCTCCCACCCACTACAAGCCTTCAATCACTGTGTAATGTGTTTACAAAGAGGGGACATGGCCGTAATTACTTTCGTGGTTATTCAGCAGCATGGTCAAACTATGGTAGACTCCAGTGAGAAAGGGTCAATTAAGTAGCTACATTCTAGTGTGTATTTAAAACAACTGATAATTGCTTCCTTGAATTATTAATCAAGGCTCTGGTTATGTAAATAGCTTTTGATTTTCCCTGCAAGTTCCCATAGTTTAATACGTAATTTAGTAATTTTGTTTCTCCACTGAAGCTTGTTTGATGTGTTAACTGTCATTCTGACGACAGTACAAAACTGGAGATGATAAGAATGAAGTTAATTTTGTATGATCTGCTGATAAGTGGGATGTTATTCAGTTTGTATATTTAATAAGTAGATTATTGGTTCATAGTTGCCTTGAAGCAGACCCAGAATAACTTTACAACACAGTGGTGATGTATACATGTTCTGAAATTCAGGTTTCTTTGCGGTTACTGGACTGAACATAAAATTTTCTAATCTACCCAACACTAATGTTACCTATAACCTGTTACTGAAAAAGGTTACTGGCCTCAGCCCCCCCTCCCACCAGTTTTCTTAAGTTGCATCCAGTCTGTGTAGATTTGACACACTCCCAAGACACATAATTAATGACAGTTATTTTTTAATCTTGACACAGTTCTTTCTACTTTTAACTTTTTGGCCTGCCTTCTAAAAAGAATTCAGGTGAACTTGTGAATAATTGCATCAACATTTAATAAAAATACATTCTACATACAGAATATGTGGGTCATTTTTATTCTTTGTAATCATCATTTTAGTCTTTGTCACACTATATCTGCCACTACATGAGGATAATATTCTACTTTCTCACTTAAGTGCCATCTGTTTACACAATTATGTACATTTTTTGATACTGGAACTTAGGTGTTGTGTTCGACACTAGATTTATAGCATCTAGTAACTGTTTTACACAGTTGTGTCTAATTCTTTCGTGTTACTGATTGCCCACCAGGAAATTTTGATAAAACTGAAACATATAGTGGAGTAAATATTAATGAAGTAAATTATGGTCCTTTGTTTGTTTTGGTAAACAGATAAATACTTTGATACTCTGTCATTGGTAGCACAATCACAAGACATTCAAACTTACATAATGAAATTGGTCATTGTATTTTAAGGTAAAAAGTAAAAGAGTTGTCCTTGTGCTTAACAAATTAAGCACTATGCCATGAAGGCGTATGGGGGAACACATGTATAACTCCATGTTTTCTTGACCTTGGTACTATTTGGAGGTGAATGGTCAGCTTCGCATGCAGCTGCTTTACCCCTGGGGAAAAAAACTGCCTGTATCCATTGGAGAGGAGGCTAAGTTGGTCCCAGAACCAGTCTAGATGACATGGAAAAGAGAGAATTCTTGACCCTACAGGACCTGAACTCTAACCCCTCTGTTGTCCAGCCCGTAGCCAGTCACTATATCAACTGTGCTATCCCACCTCCCCATATTCTAAGGACATACTGAAACTGTAAGTGGTTCTGTAAGATAAATGTCCATGGTTTATGCTGACCGTCTTACAGTGTATACACTTTTTCACCTTATTCTTCACTTCCACACTACATGTTTCGGCACTAATGTGCCATCTTCAGGTGTCTTTATGCACGTTAAACTATTGTACTGCGTGCCACAATGTCTCCATTCTAAAGTGACTAAAATCTGTGTTCGTCATATAGGACGATAAATTCTAAATAATAAAACTTTTCAGGATTCTTCCTACGTCACACTCAAGTGAAGTGGAAGTGAAGAATAAGGTGAAAAAGTGTATACACTGTAAGACGGTCAGCATAAACCATGGACATGAATCAGTGTAACAGGATGCTAAAATATAACACTGTAAGATAAAATTCGTGATACTGCAGTAACTGTCTTCATAAGTATGTTACATAGATTTTGGAGTCTTCTGAAGTTTAACTCTTTCCATTTGGTGTTTGTGGTGGAAAAAACCTGCATCCGATAGTGTTTCCAGTGTATGTTGTATGTCATTTCTCTCATTTGAAAGTCAAATCCCTTTACCTGTTGAGAAACATCATGAGAATTTTCAGTAATATTCTTGTCATCACCACCACCAACAATATCATCATCGTCATCATCCAGGAGGACTAGTCATGCTAGACTGTTCCACCTCTAACATTCAAATTAAAATTGGTCTTTCAATTTCATCTATGGTCTACCTCTACTCTTACCGTTCAGTGCATGCTGGTAAATTTATTTTTTATGGAATCTACTTCCACTCATTCTTTCCAGGCGATGGATCCGATCTCGTTGATGTTCAACTGTTTTGTCTAGGGTGTTAAATAGACTTAGCTTCCATTAGACTAGTTTCTGACATAGTCTGTTCTCCAGTAATCTGCAGCAGCCCTTAGAAATGTCATCTCAGATGCGTCAATTTGGCTCTGCCTTCATTTAGTTAGGGTCCAGCATTCTGATCCATGTTAGCAATGTGAGTACAGCCATTACTCCATAAAATGTAGAAGATTTTCTGTTGTTGCTTTACAAACTAGCATTGTCTTAATTGTACCACACACACACATTAGGAATTACTGAAGTTCATGTTCTGATCTTGAAGATGGTTATGATTCATATTGTATCCCAGGTATTTATGCATATTTACTTGTTCAGTTGGCTCGTATCATGATCTTTTTCAATCCTAGTCAGATCATGCTGGATTTATGGTGGACAGTGTGCTGTTGGGGGCAGGTTTCCCCTGCAGATTCTCCTTCCACCAACTCCTCCACATTCAGTAATGATCCAAAAAAAAAAACTATATAAAATTGATACACACAAACAAAAAACAAAACAAACTCCATGGCATGTAGTCTGCAAGCCAACTATATTGGCTGAGCGACTGCTGCTTGTCGGTGAAGTTAGTGCCAACATTTTTTGCAGATAGAGGGTGTCGCGTGGTCGGCGCGATGGATCCTCATGGCTGTTAATCTCGGTTTTCTAGACAAGAGTTCCTCTGTCCTTGAAATAGCTCCTCAGTTATCTTCACAAGGTTGAGTGGACCCTGTTCCAGAACCACAACTTCAAAAAATCTGGTAGCGCGGAGAATTGAACCGGGGATCTTTGGTTTTGTAGTCAGGAACTCTGACCACTAGATCACAGAGGCTGTCACTTGATACACACAGAGTTGTTAAATAATCAGCTTAACAAATGAATGATCATCTTGTTTAATGCTAAATAAACTCTGGTCAGTATTTATAAATGTGTCTCATGCAGATGATTAAAATGTTACCTTCTCTGCTGTTTGTAAGCAGATTCTGCTACATAAATCAGTTATACATTTTGAAATGGTACCCTCTCCTCAGAAGCAGTGTCAGTCTACAAAATCATAATGGTAATACATCTGACTAGTATCCAGGAGATATAAAAGAAAAAGGTAATGCTATCCCTGTAACAGGCCTCAGAGGTCCATAGGGTTGTGAAACATTGAGGGTCCCGCACTATCTAGACAATCGGCTCACAGATGGCAGTAAGGTTGTCAGCCTTACCTGCTGGCCACACTTTACCCCCCAGGAAAATTCCTAGTGCTCATTTCTGTTAGAGGCTGAGTTGACCCCAGGGACATAATGCGGCTGGAAGGTTAGGTAAATTGAAAAAATCCAATGACCTCATCGGGACTTGAACCCAGGATCTTCCTGCTTGTAGCATAGTGCTTCAACCAACTACACTACCCTCATGCCCCCAGCATCCAGGTGATGCCTGGTATAAGTCTGAGTCAGAAAATCACTATTCTTGATTGTGTTCTCAGTCGGTACACCCACATGTGATCGTGCCTTAAAGCTGACCATGCCTGCTTCTTTCTACATATCCCCAATTAAGTAAGTAAAGGTATTTCTGTAACAGGCCGTAGAGGCTGATAGGGTTGTGAGATGTTGAGCCTCCCACATTTTCTAGACATTCGGCTCACAGATGGTGGTGAGGTTGTCAGCCTCGTGTCGACCGCCCTTTACCCCCATAAATATTCCTGGTACTCATTTCTGTTAGCAGCTGAGTTGACCCCAGGGCCATAGCGTGGCTGGAAGGATTAGGTAGAATGAAAAAAATCCACCTCATCGGGATTTGATCCAGCGACCTTCCGGCTTGTAGCATAGTGCCTCAACCAACTACGCTACCTCCTGCCCCCACATATCCTCAATTATTCATGTTTAATTATTCTACCAGTACTACATAAACTTAGTAAGTGATACAGTGATGTAAAACAACTGAATAAAAAAATTAAACAATCGGCATAAAACATCTGCAAGTTAAATTTGTTTTGTAGATGTGAAACTTGACTAAGGGTAGGGACCAGTGATGGGCTCAGATCTTCTAGTTGTGTAAAATTTTGGGAAATCTTTAAGTAGCTGAGCTGCTTGTGGCTTCTCAAGAAGGACTCAGCTCCAAGGAGTTAGTCAGGCAGTCACTGAAGTTTTAGATTGATGTATGTTTTGAAGTTGTCACAGTGGTGATTGTTCGGATTGTGATCTTCTGAGTTGTGACACTATTTGTTTAGTGTATCATAGTATATTATGTAGTTTTGTAGGTGGATTCCATTGTTATGGGAGGAATTCTGCCACCACCTTCAAGATGAAAGCATTCAGGATGAGGAATCTGAACCCACTCACTGTTTCTATCATTTCACACAGGGTTCTGTCTCCTCTCTCTCTCTCCCATGATTCTGAACAGCCATCTGCATTATAGTCTGCTTATATAGCCCAACTGATTCCTCATCCTACACATTTTGTTTCTGAAGTTAGAGGCATCATGTTCCACCAAAACGTTGGTGTTCACCTACAAGAGAACACGGTGACACAACCTAGATGACACACTATTTTCATTGATGTTGTTTCCATGAGGACAGGTCTTTACTGCATTGGAATGTTGCGTAAATAGTTGTTTTAGGAAATGTACCTTTACAGTGTTAATCAGCAGCTTACACTTCAGTTGCACACATTATGTTTGAATGCAGTAATGTTATTAGCATTTGTACTTGTACTGACAAAGTTCAGACGCAATATTTTTTCCTCATATGTGAACATATGTTTGCATGTTTGCCAACAAATCCAAATTGTGACATGTTATTTCAATTTGCTTTACTTTACAGTATGTTTGGGTTGGGAATGAGAAATACAAAAACACCAGTGTTGCATTTTTTTAGTAGTAGTCAGGTTGATGTATGCTAAAGAGACTCAAGTACAAACAACTCCTTGTGTTCTGAAGATAAGATACTGGTACAATATTTTATGTATTTATTTTTCCTGACTTTAGTACAGTGAACTCTCAGTTGCCTGCAATAATGGGGGGGGGGAGAAGTAGTGCAGATAATTCAAAAGGAGATATAATCCAAAAATTTGGAAGTACCTACTATCCGTGTTGCGGTCAACCCAGAAAATTACATAATTAGTAGCTGCTGGTCACTGAATAGGTAAATATGTCTCCAATAGAAGAAAGCAGTTGATGTTCAGTAGTAAAACAAGCTTAGAAGATGTATAATATACTGGACATCATTGAAAAGCATTACTGTTATATGCATTACTGAAACATTGTGGGAAGCTATATTTAATAACTAAAGGGTTCTGAAAAAGTCCTGCAGATAATTGAAAGTCTACTCTATATCTGTTTATAGAACACTGTTATAGGTCTTTTCCCATTCCAAAGAATGCACAAGTTGTGGCTGATACTTAACTAAGTAATTAACTTACTAATTAGGTCTGTGGAATAGTGTCCTTCTTGGTAAACTATTAATCATTGATATGGTTAGGAAAGCGTGCTCCGTTTATGGAACCCAAAAGTCCATTACCATTTTCACAAGAGTCCATCAATGGTCCCTCTCATGCGCCAGATAAATCCAGTCCCCACACCTGTCCACCCTGCTCCAGGCTCACACACCACCCTGTACCAGTCCATACAACCTTCCACCTTATTTCTTTAAGCTCACTTTAATAGTATCGTCCATTCTATGCTTAGATCTTCAAAGTGGTCTCTTCCCTTCAGGTGTAGTGAACAAAATTTTGCGTCCGTTTCTCATCTCTCCTAGTCATGCTACATACCTTGCTCATCTTATCCTCATTTTGAGTTACAGAGTTTCTCATGCAGTTCTCCAGTTTCTTGTCACTGCTTCTGTGTATTTTCCTCAACACCCTCAATCCGTGTTCTACCCATAATGTGAGAGACCAAGTTCCACCCCCAAACAAAACAACAGGTAAAATAATATGTTTTTTCTTTATTTTAATCTTTATATTTTTAGATGGCAGATAGGAAGATGACACTGAAGTGAACAGCAGGAAACATTCCCCACATTTAGTCTTTTCTTAAAATCTTTGAATGCGATTTTGACTTGTTACTGTCATTTGCAAATGTCCATTTTCAAAGGATTTATTGACTGTCTTTATGACATGATTTTGTCCAGCATTCTAGTGACTAGACATAAATGTTTATCAGCGTCCTTGTTAATGTGTAATAGAGCTTTTCTGTTTTTCTTCATGCATTTATGTATGTGCCCGGTAAATTAACATCATGCTGATGTGTTCAATTCAGTTCCATTCCCTCCTGGTTATCTTGGACCTTGTGAATGGAATATTTTAAAGAAGCATTGAGAATCTGTGGCAGTAAGGCAGCTCCTTATTTCAGAAGAATCTGAAGAGAAAGTGCACCAAAACGAATGTGTACATCTAAAGTCTTTCCTGTAATATTTGTTTAATTGCATTTTAATGAGCCAAATTATTTTCATGGGTATGCTAGCCTCTCTTTCTCATGGACACATGCACACACAGAGAAAACAAGAGATGAAATTGTGGAGTTATGTAATTTAATCTTAGGTTTTTGAGGTAGGACATGGAAGAGTAGACGATCATAAGTTGAATGATAACATGTATTTCTGCGAGTTAATCTTCTCTTAAGTTCTTCAAAAATGTCAATGTAATTTGCTGCTGTTGCTCACAGATAAATGAATTTTGCCACATTTTCAAGGATTTATGAGCTGTGTTATGCTTTTTTCCTAATATTACAACATTTACCATACTTAGAGTCAAGATATGAAGGGATTTGAAAACATTCGGAAACATAAATTGAATTTCATTTCCATTCCTTAATACCTTTATATCTTTGCTAAGAGAGGGTGAAAATTGATTTGAATTATAAAAATTAAGCATGGTTTGATAATGAATGGTATTTTTATGAGTTCTTTGCACCTATTCTAAAATTGATATTCTTGATTTCTGAGCATATCTCTGTATATACTGCAGAAGTTGGTAGTTTTACACTGAATGAGATGAGAATTTTTTCAAAATCATAAGACAAACTATTGGTGGGTTTTCTGATTATGTGATATACTGTTTCAGCGGTATAAATTATATAATATTAAATTAGATGGGAAGAAGTTGGTGGATAGCAACTTGATTAAGGGTTGGATGAAGAAGGTTCCCTAACAGCATTCACCTTAAAAGAGACTTGAGGAGACCCTCAAAAGTCCTCAGGCTCCCAGAGCCATGAGACAGTAAAATATGGTCAAGAGTACCATGGGGCTTAGAACCAAGAATGACTGTGCTGGCAAGGGCCAGCAGCCCTTCAGCTGACTGACTGACCGACTGACTGACCTCAGATATGACAACCATGAGACCAGCTGAATTTGAAGTAGTTGGCAATCAAATGCTGGTCCAGAACAGTACCACTTTCCCATTTTGCACAGTTCATTGGACTGTTTCCAGTTCAGTTGAGTGGATAGTCATAAGGTAACCCATGCAGAAAATAGAAGAGTTCAAGATAATTGTGACTATTAGCACTGTTCAGCATTGGGATCCTAAGACTGAATGCAGTATGTTCGGTCTGCTCCTGTAAAGATAACAATTTAATAGAGTCTTATCCAGTACTCTTATCTGGGTGACGAGATGTACCAGTCATGAGTTCCATATTGTTTTGTTTGTATGATTTTTGAGCAAAGTTCATTTCATGCAGTGTGGCATTGAAGTCAGATTAGGTCATGTAAAAGTATACATAATAAGAATGTAAAGATTCATGCCACTTACATGCATTTTCTTTCACCTTTACACACACAAATCAGTGTGTTAGTTTATTTTGTTCCATTTAACTTGTGCTGAAAATGTGTTCCAAAAATTTTCATCAGTTTCAAGTAATTTATCAGGTTGTAGGATTTGAGGTTCTTGGTTATAAAGAGTTCTGTCTATGCTTGCTGCCTGCTTCATGCTGGTTTCTTTTTTTACTTATTCATTAACCATGAAGGTGGAGGTGACATGTTCCTCCAAAATGCTGGTTGACTTTCAGCGGACTACCCGATGTTATATCCCAGAAGATAATAACCCTTCAATATTTCAGGCTAATCAGAAATAATTATCTGGTTTCATTGTATTTGTTATGTATTTCATTAAACGTTTCAGATCAAAAATATCTGAGAAGAATGGTCTTGTAAATTGAAAACTAAGTAACATTATTAACATTCCTGTATATTTTCAACTTTACCTTGTACTGTACCCTTGTGACAGGAATAAATGACATAAATTGCTAACATATAGTAACTTTGACTACTGTTAAGAGGCATATAATGTTTCAGTTTTATTTTATTAAATATATGCCATATTATGTACTGATTCTTTGTACAAGGGGCAGGTGTTTTTGAAAATCAGCAAAGTCAGGTTTGCTCTGTTCTGTTTTATATAGGTCAGTAAATGAGAAATCCCCACTCTTTTCTTTGTCCCCACAGTCTTTCTTTTTTTCCAATTTCTTTGCAACTCTTTCCTCTCTTCTTGAAGTCTTCCAGTATGTGACTGAATTTTTTTAATCTCTGTCATCATCCTCTGGGTCCCTTTCTCTTAAAAGTTAATTCTAACACTCTTCTCTGCATCTTTGTTTTATCCAGTATTTCTACATGATCAAACCATTATAATGGATGGGTCAGTATAAATTTATAATTTTTGTTTTGCTTTCTGACTTCCAATTTAGATATCATATATTTCTTATAGGGGTCTGGTGACTGACATTGAAAATTCAATTATTTATTACATTTAATTTAGAAAAGGTTAAAAGAAAAGCATGTGTGTTCCTTCTTATTTTCCAGTTGTAATGTTTTATATGTGTGTTTTGATTTAATTCAAACAGTATGTGGTTTAAAAATGTGTAATGGATGAGCAGACAATTGTGAATTATTGTGTAATGTAGATAATTTATCTTTCAGAGAGATGATCCATCTTTGCTGGCCCAGTTCTTCTATGCTGATGAGGCATTGAACCTTGTCGCAGCTGAACTGGATAGCTTTGATGGACGCAAGGACCCAGAGAGATGTACAGCCCTTGTTAATCATCTCAGACAGTGTCAGGATAAGGTAAATGGATTCAAGAAACATGATGTGGTATAGTGTTAGAGTATGATGGTTATTGGATACATTTTGTTAATAAAGTTGAATAGGATAATAAAAGACAGCAGGTTTTTACATCCAAAGAAGAGATACATTATGCAGAAAAGAAAAAAAGGAAACATTTCTGCTTGTGTTAAGATTAGCTTATAAATATCTTTCATTTATAAATGTAAAAATAAGTTTATTGCATCCATCAGCGGGTTATCTGAATATGTGACCTTTGTTACACCAACTAATAATGTACTTTTGAGACTCTTTTCATGACTTAATGGCAAATCGGTTTATAATACAGGACACTGATTGCAATTTTATAATTTTTAGGAATTTCTTAAATTTCTGTAATCAACGAGCCAGCATGGCAATGTTAGAAACTTGTGAATATATGTGCCATTCATTCTAGTGTTTTGTGTTCTCCTCAAAGTGTATACAGAATTTACTAAATATTTTAAGGTGGAAGGGGGGAATGGGATGCTTATAATGTTATATTTTAGCGTCCTGTTGCACTGATTCACGTTCATGATGTGTATTTGTACCAACCGTCTTACAGTGCACACAGTTTCACCTTTCTGTTCACTACATGTTTCGGCACTAATGTGCCATCTTCAGGTGTGGTTTTATTTACGTCAAACCATTGCACTGTATGCCATCATGTCTCCTTTATAAAATGATTAAATGTATATATGTCATGTATAATAATAAAGTTTATATATTAAAACTTTTCAAGATTTATCATCTATATGTCACACTTCAAATTCGCGAGTTACGTCAGTCTTCTCCTATGGGAGTACTCTTCCTGTATTCTTGTGTATGTTGTGTCCTGTGTTGTGTCCTTCCCTTGTGATTGCGTGCATTGTATTGCGTTGACGTGATGGCATACAGTGCAGTGGTTTGACGTAAACAAAACCACACCTGAAGATGGCACATTAGTGCCGAAACATGTAGTGAAGAGAAAGGTGAAATTGTGTGCACTGTAAGACGGTTGGTACAAATACACATCATGAATGGAATGCTTATAATTCTATCCCTTTATTGGTACCTGACACAAGAGCGCCTTGAAAAAAATCAAAATTAGCCCACAAGAAGGCCACAAAATATGTTGAGAAGAAGTGAAGGTCTTGCAGATTGAACCAAAAACCACATAACGGGAAATACAAGGAATGTGCTCACATGTCTCTGATAGATCATCCAGTCAGTCAACTCGGCTTAGACAGCTCTCCCATCTGGGCTCCCACTACAGCTCCATCCAGTGTAGATTAAGTGGGAAAATTTGGCTGCGCTATAGCTCAATTGCTTAGTCTCTGGGTTCCTACCACGGTGGCCTGGGTTCAATCCCAGGTCTGGTCAAGTGGGCTTTGTGGTGGACAAAATGGTGCTGGGCGGGTTTTTTCTGAGTACTTTGGTTTCCCCTGCCAATCTTCATTCCATGAAATTCTCTATCACCATAATCACCCGGGGCAGGCTACAATAGGCCAATCAGTGGCCGCTGTGCCGAATGGACCCAGTTGGACTCCACCCCCACTAAGCGAATTAAAAAAATAGTGTTTTTTATGTTGATACTATTCAGAAAAGGGGCACACGGTAGTGTAATTAGTTGAGGCACTATGCTACAAGCTGGGAGGTTGCGAGTTTGATTCCTGATGAGGTCATTGAATTTTTTTCAATTTACCTATTCTTTCCAGCCATAATATTGCTCTTGGGTTGACTCAGCCTCTAACAGAAATGAGTACCAGGAAGATTCCTTGGGGGAGAAAGTGTGGTAGACTTGTAAGGCTGATAACCTTGAGTATGAGGGGTGAGCCATAAAGCTGGTCCTTGCACTGCGACCTTCAGTGGTCTATTGTGCTTAAGGCTGATAACCTTACCACCATCTGTGAGCCGATTGTCTAGAAGATGTGGGAGCCTCGACCTCTCACACCCATATGGGCCTTTGAGGTCTGTNCTGTTAAAAGGACAGCTTTTCCCCCCCCCCCTCTATGTTTAGGAAATTTATCTCTCTAGTGGTGACATTTTTTCTGATAGTACTCTGGTGCTAGGCCTCATACATGTTGAGTTCTTTTTAATGTGTTTAATGTTTGCCTTAACTCTCGCAGATGGTTTGTGCTGAGCTTGGTTTGTATAGGGACTAGCTCTTTCAGTCGGGCCCATGTGAGTAGGTTTCGCATGAAGATGGAGACACAATCTAGTCTCTGAAACACTGTATTTTAAATAAAAACAGGTTGATGGATAATGTCCAGAAACACAGTAGTTGATATTGATAGTGTCCAAAAACAGTTTTCTTGGTAAATAGTAATATGGGAAACTTTTATGTATATAACGATAATCAGAATTCCTTAGCTACAAGTTTTTAACTCTAATACCCATTAAAATTATACATTGGAGGAACTTGCTGCAGAATAAAAGAGTCTACCCTGATGTTGGAGGTACCAAGTTCCTTGGAAATGTAAGAATGTATGTACTGAATTGTATGGCATGGCATATCAGAAGACCACTGTTTTTATAGTCACAACTTTTAGGACTTCAGATCTATAATGTTACTACCTTCCTGACAGAACTGATTGTCTTCCCCCATTCTTTCATCTGCTAATGAAAACCGAACTTCAAGCTGTATTATGTGTTCTTACAATTTGGAATCCTCTGTATATGCATATATAAAGTATGTATATTTTTGGAACTTGAAGCCATCTTGGGATACATGTTAGTTGCCCATTAGCACGCTGATACAAGCTTGTGGATGTAAATATGATGTCTACTATATAGAGGTCACACTGTTTACCAGTGTCACGCTGAAGCAACCAGTTTGGTGAGATAATTATTCAACCTTGACGAGACCTCATATGTTAAATAGTTTTATGTAAAACAGCATCAGAGCGAGTGTTAATTATGATTCTCATTATTTCACAAGTATGATACACTGGATTCATTAATTGATTCATGTGCCCAAAATCCATTCAGCCCCTGTGGCTGTGTAGGTGGGTTGATTGGGGGAAGGGGGAAAACATACAGTTTATAACTATCGAAACCTACATCTCAACTAATCTAATTTTGGAAGTGGCTTTTCTTTCCTATCAGGAGTTATGGTTATGACTAAATTTCTTGAAATAGTAATGGTATTTCCTCCACTGCAGATGTTATAGTTATGTTGCTGTTCCTCAGTTGCAAGTGCCTGGTTTTTGGTAACTGCCTGACAAACAAACATGAGGTTGGTGTTAATGTAAGATTGTGACTATATTTTCCATCATCCCTTATGCCACTGATCCGCAGCCACTCCACCTGGAAATATATTTTAACGTTTTTCTACAGAATACTATGAAACTGAAATGTTATGTGTACGTACCATTTTTGCTAATAAGAAACTTCTCCAGCCCAGCATATTTGCTAGTAAGTGATTTCTTTCTGTATTTATGTTTAATATCAGAATACATTGTTATTTATTTCTGGACATAGGTAATAGCACATGAGGTACAGAGGAGATACCGTGGTACCATGAGGTACATAGGTTTTCGTTTTGGATACTTCAAAAAGATTCACTTCACCGTCTCTTCTTCACAGACTGAAAACTGTAATATTCTAGGGCAGTGGTTCTCAAACTTTTTACCTCTGAGCCCCCCCTGACAAGAGAAAATACTCTCAGGCCCCCAGCCTATTTTTTTTATCAAAATAGAAGTCATGGTATGTTTGACGTTTTATTCAGTTTATTTTGTGTTTTTCTACATACTATATAGCAGTTTTTTTTTTTCTCTCAAAATTAAAGTATCACAATATTAGGGCTACAATAGAAATTAGTTTTAACACTTGCAATTAACCAAAATATGTATTGAAATGAAACGATATTTAACTAACAAGTATTTAATTTTTTCTGCAAAGAAAATCAAACATTTAAATGTCAAAGTTCGGTGTGATGGATGGGCCTGCTTTTGAGAACAAGGTTTATCAAAACGTGGTGTAATATCAGAAATGGCCACTCTAACTTCTTTAGCAATATTTAGCCTTGAACGATACTTTGACTTTATAGCTGCCAAAGCAGAAAAGCCTGTCTCGCATAAGTAAGTTGTTGCGAAAGGAATCAGGATCTTCAATGCCTTTTGGCTCAAAGTTGGGA